TTTTTTTTTTTTGGCTTATTTTAAATATCCAATCAGTGAAGAATAAAATTTTGAAAGTAACCAAGGACCAAAGCCTCAATGGAGAAGTTTTCCTTACTTCTGCATACTTTCCACATAAGACTCTTGAAACGCATCTTTCATAGAGCAAGTCAACCCTGGGCTGGAGGACTGGAGGGTGAAACAGTATGGCTGCCTGAGCCTGATTTTTGTACTCTGAAGCACCCCATGAAGACCCTTCTATAGGTTAAAAAATTGGTACACCAAAATTTATTTTCCACAAAATCCTTTCTACTAAATACATTTTATAGTTATCCTATATAGGAGGAATTGCTCTGATCTCTAAAAATTTTAATCAGTCTATGTTTGGAAGAGTGAAAAATGGATACTGAAACCAAATTAGCTAAAATTATCTATTCCTTTTAGGAATCCATTCCTTTTATGAAGAAATGTTTGCTTTATTGTCATTTGTCTCAAAACTTCTTTGGTACTTTATAAATGCTTTTTAACATTTTAGCCCTGTTCCAATTGGGCCTGATCAAGTCTTACTACGAGGGACACAACTAAGAAATACTCAGTGGATAATTGGCATAGTTATTTACACTGGATTTGAAACCAAATTTATGCAGGTAAAATGATGTGTGATGACAAACAACACTGCTTATAGAGTTTTCCTTTTGCTTTCATGAAGTAAGAGGGTTTATATATGTATTTTGACTTTAGAAGGAACTTTCCTATTTTGTCTCTAGTTTTAGATATTTATTCTGATTTCTAAAATTATTTTTCATTAAACGTTGATTGCAAAAAAAAATCCTGTGTGTACACTACAATTGTTTTCTTTTTTTGTCTTTTGTGTGCATGTATGCCTATGGATACTACTGTTCAGAACGCTGTCAAGTCTCCTCTCAAGAGACCAAAGGTTGAGAAAGTGACCAATGTACAGATCCATGCCTTGTTCTTGTTGCTCCTGGTCATGTCCCTGGTGAGCTTTGTGGGCGCTCTGTTCTGGAGAAGAGCACACAGTGCAGACATGTGGTACCTGAAAAGGCGGGGTAAGTGTCAGGGAGTGGCGGGAGGCCGCCACTTGTGGGAGTTGTGATGCTTTTAAAGGTGACTTTGAAGACTTGTTTTTCTCCTTTTGTTTAAAGTGAACAGTAGCTATTCTATTTTTCTTTGGAGAAACTGATTATAAATTAGTATTAGAAACAGAATATTCCCTTGTCAAGATGTCAAAAATTATTTCTCATGGACAAGACAACTGTATATATTTATGGAATAAAGTATGATGTTCTGATATCTATCTATCTATCTATCTATCTATCTATCTATCTATCTATCTATCTATCTATCTATTAACTGTGGAATGATTTAACCAAATTAATTAATACATCTTTCACATCCTTATCACTTTCCTGTGCTGAGCACATTAAAAACTACTCTTTTTAAAACTAATTAATCCATGTTTTCAGTACAAGATGATTAAATTCATTGTAGGGAATTGGCCCATGTACATAACACATTTCAATTTTTTTCTCTTTTCCCTCCACCACCTTTTTTTTTTTTTTACAGCATCAGTCTTATGTATTTATAAGACCTTATAAAGTTAATTATCATATGTACAGATTGAAAACCAGGCTAATAGGCCAAAGCACATAAAAAATGTCTAAGAAAATTATAATGTCAAGGTATACTTTCAGATATATTGTCCATTCTAGATTAAAAACTACTCATTTCAGAATTATCAACTATGCATTTTAATAGTAACTGCCATCACACTACAGTAGATCTCCTTCAAAATTTATTCCTCTTATTAACTGAAACTTCATGTTTTTAACTAACATGTCCCTATTCAATTACTCCCTATCACCTTCCAACTGCCATTCTACTCTTTACTTCAGTGAGTGACTTATTAGATCCTACACAGAAGTCAGATAATACAGTATTTACTTTTCTGTGATTGACTTATTTCACTTAACAGATTGTGCTTTGGTTCATTCACACTTTTTTTTTGTAAATGGCAAGATTTCCTTCATAAGGCAAGATAGTATTCTAGCTCTGTATGTGTGACATTGAACAATTATAACTGTCTTGCCAGAAATTAATAAATTTCTTGATTAATTAATAAGGTTTTTGATTTTTTTTCTGTCCAAAAAATGAATCATTGTCATATTTGCCTCTGGTTTTCTTCCAAGGTTAATTTAGAGACAAAGTTTATAAGTATAAATCATGGCAAATAGGAGGAAGTTAGTAAACGCAAGATGATAGAGTCTGAATGGTTGGGACATGAATTGAACTTGGATTTTAAGCTGATGGAATTTAGAAAACTAAATTGAGCTCCTATTGTCCTAGATTACAGATATGCCTACGTTCAAGAAAATGTTCACTTACAAATTGAAATTATTTAATTTTGCTTGATTTTATGGATTTGTTTTTAATAAAATGTATCCTCTTTACAAAATAATTTGTACTTACCTCTTTTCAGTTACACTTCTCCGTGTAACATAAATTTAACCTGTAAGCTTGAGATGCATGTTTAATAGTGCATATAGGTTTAATAATACAAGTTGATATTAAGATTATATTTGCTTTTCAGAAAGACATATATAGGTTTGTATAAAACCACCAAATATCTTCTAAGTATTTAAAGCCACTCTATAAAATTATACTGAATTCTCGTTGGAAAATTACTGTCTCAAACATAATTGCTTTTTCAACAACTGAATGAATCTTTGGATTTTAGTAACGTACTACATCTACATTTTCTTGGTCTTACGTTCCTTCTTCCCTTGAATTTCAAAACTAATAGCTATAGAACGTGTCCCCATTTGCATGTGCACACACGCGTACTTTCTCCATTGCTGTTTCGCATCTCTGCCTTGGCATCCACGTTGCTTCCACACATAAAGGCCCTTTCCATTCCTCCCACTTCTATGTTCAGAAAACTTTCATTTCCAAACTTCGCTCGCCTTCTTTTCCAAGGCTCCGTGGACTCCTGCTGTGGCATTTGTCACCATGGTCAGTGCTCAGTGCCCCACAGAATTCCTCATGCAGTCATTTTTTTAGTTTTTGTTTTTCATTAGTGCATGCTTGTAGCACATCGTGCTTACATTACTTAGGAGGAGCCGGTGCATGCACATAGCACACCTCCGCGTCTTTCATCTTCTCTCGCTTCCCCCCACACTCCCTCCATCTCTTGATCCTTTTCCCATTTGAGAAGGACCCATCTCCACTTTTCCTATTATCTTTCATTTTGTTCTTTATTTGTATTTTGGGCTTCTTATATAAGAGAAACCATGCACTGTTTAGTCCTGCGTGTCCGATTCTTTTCACTTCACATTCTGGTCTTGAGGTACATCCCTTTTCTCTGAAATGATTCAGGTTTGTCATTCCTTACGGCAGAGTAGCACCCCCACATTTTCTTTATCCTCTTGCCTGTTGGTGGACATATAGGCACTTCCAAGATTTACTATAGTCAGTTATGTCACTATAAATGTGAGCATGTGTGTCTCACTGTAGGATAATGTCTCTGGTTCTTTGGAGACAATATCTAGAAATCTAGAAAGGAAATAGCTGGGAAATAGCTGGGGCAAATGGAATTTCGAGTTTTAGTTTTTTGAGGAATCTCTATACTGGTCTCCATAATGGCATGTGGTACCAGGGATTGAACCTGCCAGACAGGTGCTTAAACCACTGAGCTATCTACCCAACCCTTGATTTCCATAATGTTTGTACTATTTTGATTCCCAGTAACAAAGTATAGACATTCCTTTTTCCTTTCAGCCTTGACTACACTTGTTATTATTTAATTTCTTGATGATGGCCATTCTTTTAGCCTAAGATGGAATCTCACTGTTGTTTTATTCATTTTCTCTAATAACTGGTGATGTTGAACATTTCCCATGCACTTACTGGACATATATACTTCTTCTGAGAAGTGTCTATTCATTTTAGTAGCTCATTTTTGATAGGATCTTTTATTTAGGGCAATCTAAGTTTTTGAGTTCTTTATATTCTAGAAGTTAGTATTTTTTCTGAGCTGCCAATGTTCTCCTATTATATAAGTTTTCATTCTGTTGTTTCCTTTTCTGAGTCTTTTATTTTGATCCAATTCTCTTTCTTGGCTCTTGGTACCATGGGGGTTCTGTTCCTCATGTCATCTTTATTGACCTAAGCTTCTTCTTCAAGATGCACTCTCAGTCCCCTGAGAGGAGAGAGTGTGTGCGTGTGTGTGTGTGTGTGTGTGTGTGTGTGTGTGTATGTGTCTTAATCTTGCAACTCAGTGCTTCCTATACTCCTTGTTACATGCCTCATTCTTGATTAAAAAAAAAACTATATCTGGGTCTGCCTTCAGTAATAATTTTCATAGAGAAGATCCCACAGTTCTAAAAATGTGATAATACATATGAAGGTGAGTTAAGCTATCCCTAAACCTGTGATATGTTCCTGTGATTTTCTTGTGCAGAGGAAAAGTCCCATGCCTTTGGTTTTGACATACTGGTGTTCATCATCTTGTACCACAACCTCATTCCCGTCAGTCTGCTGGTAACTCTGGAAATTGTGAAATTTATTCAGGCTCAGTTTATAAACTGGGTGAGTATCCAAGTAAAATTTTTTCTTTCTTTTTTAATAAATAGCTGAAAGCCAGGCAAACTATGTAGATCTTTTAAAAATTTTTATCAGTGCATGTTTGTAGTACATATTGTTTACATTTCTTGGTGTAAAGCTGCAACACATACGTAGCACATCATCATTTCTCTTTTTCATCTACTTTCCCTCCCCATCTCTCCTCTTCTTTCATCTCTTGACCCCATTCCCAGCTGAGAAAGATCTACCTCTCTGTCTCCTATTAGTTATCTTTTATTGCATTCTTTATGTTTTGCACTTTTCAAATAAGAGAAACTATGCACTGTTCAAACACATATGTCTGCTTTATATCATTTAAATGTTATGCTCTCAGGGTGCACCCATTGTTTTTGCAAATGATTCAAGTTTATCTCATTCTTTGTGGCACAGTAGTACTCCATTGTGTGTTAAAACCACATATTCTTTATCTATTCATCTGCTGATGTACATATCAGTTACTTATGAGATTTAGTTATTATTAATCATGCCACTATAATCAAGGTTATGCATGTATCACTCTAATAAGATTTTTTTATTCTTTGGGAAGATATCTAGAAGAAGATATCTACCAGGGTCAAATAGAATTTGTAGTAGTTTTTTATTTGTTTTTTCTTTTTTTAGGATTTCCATAGTGGTTATACTAGTTTTCATTCCTACAGCATAGAAGAGTTCCTCTTTCCTCACCAGCATTGTTATTAATTGATTTCTTGATGATAGAAATTTTTTTCTAGTGTAAGATGGTATCCCAGTGTTGTTTTAATTTTCATATCTTTAGTGACTGGTGATATTGAACATTTCCCCAAGTATTTATTGGTCATTTGTAGCTCTTCCTCTGTAAAGTGTCTATCCACTTCACTTGCTCATTTCTTCATCTAGTCTTTTATTTTAGGTGGTCTAATTATTTTGTGTTCCTTATATATTTTGATATTAGTCCTCTGTCCAAGGAATAGCTGAAAATTTGTTTTTCTCCTTTCATAAATTGCCTTTTCACTCTGTTGGTTGTTCCCTTTTGTTGTGCAGAAACTTTTCTTTTCTATATGATCCTATTTGTTGATTCTTGGTACTGTTTCCTGTGGAACTGCAGTTCTGTGCAGAAAGTCTCTGTCTATGCTCATGACTTCAAGAATTTTACCTTTTTTGTCTCCCAGCAAGTGACGTGTTTCTGGCTTAACATTTAATCCTTTGATTGATTTTGTTTTTAGTTTAGTGCATGGTGAAAGATATGGGTCTAGATTTCATTTTCTGCATGTGGATAATTACTTTTCCCAACACCATTTATTAAAGAGGCTGTCTTTCTTCCAGTGTATGTTTTTGGCCTCTCTGCCAAAGATCAAGTAGTTGAATGAATTTGGACTCGTTTTTGCCTCCTCTGTCCTGTTACATTGATCCTTCCATCTGTTTTTGTGCCAGTACCATGCTGTTTTAATCACTGTAGCTTTGCAGTATAGCTTCTGGCCTAGGCTGGTGAGGCCCCCCACTTTGCTGTTTTTACCCAGGATTGCTCACAGTTTCTAGAGGTTTCAGTCTACAGTTGCCTAATTTCAAGGAAGGGTAGTATGGCAGAGGGGTGTTGCAGAAGAGAATCTACGGTAGCACAGACAGAAGCAGAAAGCAGCAGCATTAAGCTTGCTTTCCCCCCCTTTATTGTATTCCATTCAGGCTATAAACCCATTGGTTAGTACCATCCATACGCATGGTGGGGCTTCCATTATCCATACTCAGTACTACCCTAAACCAATTCAGTTGCCGCAAATCCTTAATCCCAGTGTTACACCCTCTAATTCAGCATCAACACCCATTATCCAGTCGCTTCCAAAAGGTCCCATGTATAAATGCAAGAGGCTTTGGGAGGGACACCTAGATACAAGTTGTAATGGGTTTTTATGATTCCATATGAATTTTAAAGGTTTTTTTCTCCATCTGTGAAGGATGCTATTGGTATTTTGATTGAGATAGCATTAAATCTATATATTACTTTTGGAAATATGGCCATTTTGACTAAATTGATTCTCCCTACCCAGGAACATAGAATATCTATCCATTTTCTATTGTTCTCTTTGATTTCCCTTTTCAGAGTACTGTAGTTTTCATTGTAGAGATTTTTCATTTCCTTAGTTGGCTAATTTCTAAGTATTTAATTTGCCTTGTGCTATGGTGTATGGTATTTTTTCCTAATTTCTTTTCAGTGGGTTCATTATTAGTGTACAGAGATGGAATTGATTTTGGGGTGTTAAATTTGTATCCTGTTACATTACAAAATTTGATTATTAATTTTAAGAGTTTTCTGTTGGATTTTGTTTTTTGGTCTTATATGTAGAGGATCCTATCATCTGCAAATAATAATTTGACTTCTTCCTTTCCTATAGATAACCACTTTCCCATTTTCTTATTTAGTTGCTCTTAGTTTACTAATGCTTTCAAGAGTGGTGGTAGTGGACATCCTTGTCTTATGTCTGACTTTAGAGGGCAAGTGTGTAGTTTTTTCCCATTTAATTCGTACTGGCAGTAGGTTTCTTATAATTTAATTTTACCAAATAGAGATAAGGTCTCCTACACCTACTTTCTAAAATGTGAAATCAGAAATTTTCTCAAAATTAAAATAAAAATATTTTCTATAGGGATGAGTTTTGATAGTTTCCTAGCAGTCTGTATAACTAACAAAATCCCTATGATATAACTAATTGAATGCATTGGTATTGAAGCCCTGGGGCTATAATGTTTTCTCTAGGAAAGGTAAGGGTTGGTATCAACAGAACTCACCAGGTCTTGGGTGAGTTCTTTGTATTTGAACTTTTGAGTTCTTTGTATTTATCTTGAAGATATCATATTTTATGTGACTTAAGAGATTATTAGTAGTAAGTATAGGTCGATAATTCATTAACATTCAATATATTTAAAAGAGGAGGGGACTCCAGTAGGCTTACAGATCTTGGCTAGAATGGCAGAAACATAATCAATCCAGGGTCACTTCAAATTAAGGAAGAGATTTCTTGGGTGACGACCATGCATTGAGTGTCATTAATACTCAGTAAATTTGGGTGTGTATTCATTTTACAGTCTGAATGTGTGCCTGCAATTTTGAGTAATATTTTTAAATATTTTTCTTCTAAATAGAATTATTATAAAACATCGCATATTTTAAATACCCTCTTAATCTGTCACTAGGTTGCCATCATTTGAAGAAGAATGCTATTTTTTTTGGTTAGTGTTGGGCATCAAACTCAGTGTCTTATCTATGCCAAACAGATAACTTTTTATTGAGCTACATTTCAACCTTGGGAATACTATTTTAACCTGCACCAAATGAGGCAAAGTACTTCCAAATTGCTCTCATTTAATTTTCCCTAGAGTGTTACGAGGTTCAGCTTGGTGCTTCCACTTTATAGATGTGGATGCTGAGATATGTAATTCATTATATCAAGTTTTTCAATCCTAGATATCCAACACCAAAGTACTGCCTGTTCTGCATTAATTGGCTTAATACATGAAGAAACTAACGTCTATTGGTTTAATTGCAGCATTCTACCTTCTACATTGTGAGGCCTTTCTAAATGCCAATCACATAGAAAGATCACTGGTATGGAGCCTTCTTGATGGAAATGTTGAGCATAGCTCTTATTTTGGCTTGGGCTATATTTCTCATTTATTGTAGGATGAAGATATGCATTATAAAGAAAACGGTGTTTATGCCGTGGCCAGAACATCCAATCTTAATGAAGAGCTTGGGCAGGTGAGTGACTCCTCTGAGATAGGGCAATGCCATAGAGCTAAAAGAAGACTCTAGGGAAAGCTTATGCATTTTATGCACAACAAAATGCCAAAATGAGCAAGGGGACATTGTTTAAATTGAAAAATGTAGAGCCAGGAGGGAATTTACAAGTGTAGTTTATTCCAAGTAATAATTCTGAGGTCTAACACAATTAAAAGGAAAGTGAGAACTTGAGGATTGGACAACAAGGAGAGGGCAAGGAGAAAAGCTGGGAAATAGGACAGGGACAAAGCCATACATTTATACGCACAAGATGGGCAAGGCAATGATCCTGAGTAACATCAGCAGGTTTTTGAAACTAGCAGTTAATTGGTAGGATTCTCACCCTGACTAACTATACATGCTGATACCTATGAACCAAGCAACTGCACTGAAGATAGCAATGTGTAATAGGAGGTTCACGCTTGGAATATCTGTCATTCTGGTCTTCTAAATACACACTTCTTGTCATGACATACCAATTATTACCATACTGTCTCACAAGTAAAAGCTTTTTCTTTAAAATGGGTCATAAATGAAAAAAAGACACAAGAAAAAGAAAAAAAGTGTCATAGGACTGTCCTGCTACAATGCTGTATATAGTTAGATTTTTAAATTTCTGTGTAAAAATATGTAATTGTTTATTCATATTCTCATATTCTTTATATATTTTTCATTTAAAAAATTTTTATCACCATATTCTATCGGGACTTAATGTTTAACACATCAATAATTGATGGAAAATAACTGTTCCATGTTATGCCTAAGATGTTTGATATTCAGATAGATAGTGAAGTTAACCCAACTGCTTAAGATGTAGGGTAATAATAAGCTTCTCTTCTAGAGGGTTAACAACCTAAGTTTGCAGACCAAAAAGAGAAATAGAAGGGCTGCAAGGATAGCCAACAATTTGACCAAAGCCTTTCAAGGTCAGTGAAGACTCAAGA